TGGCTTCGAGCCTTCACTGAACGATGGGAATCCCAATTTGATCCCATTCATCCTTATGGATTGATGTGGAATCTAGATATCCTATCTTTATAAAATAGAGAAATCCTTATAGATGATTGGACTGGAGCAATGAGGATAGCCGCTTTCAGTTAGGTCTAGAAAAGGAAGGGCGAATTTGATCTCAATTACATCGACCCTGGCTGTGAAAATTTCATGGGACATGACATCTCCAGAAATAGAGATGTTTTGTCTGGAGAATCATTAAAAGGAATAGTCGATAGGCATATTTCAAATCCATTTTATCGGCACAGGCTATTTTGAGGGAATGGAAGAAGAGAAGAAGATATAAGCAAGCCCTCTATTGCCTTGAGCTACATGACATTTGTCACGTAGATGAGTACATTAAGTTATTCACCGAATATAGATGGAGGTGGATAATAATGAAGCTTCGCAATTCTTTTTCGCGAAGATACCTAGTCCCTGGAGTGCTAATCAGGGCGACGAGCCTGAAACTCTCATTTTGACTCATCTCCCTCTTTCGTCATCCGAAAAGCGGTCTTGCTTCACCAAAGGTGATCACACACCGAACCAAACCGACGACCTTTCCTACACGCTTCCTTCAGTGAGTGACTCTTTCCGTCTTTAGTTTAGGTTCATTACGGCAGTTTTGACTTTCGTCTCTTTATCAGTTAATTCGGTATCGTTTATTAATTTCGTATATTAACTACTTCTGACTTCACTGCGCTTCGCTTCGTTTGTTGGGTAGTTATTCTCCCAGGCGTGCCTAAAGTCTTATGTTCGATGATCCCTTTCCAAGTCCTAGGTTGGGTTAAACCATCAGACTCGACTAAGAAAACCATGCCAGAGACTCCTCCTAGTAACCCTCCCCGAAATCCAGGGAGGTGCTCTTGAAGGCATGGCGGGCTCCAAGCTACACCCTTCTCTGCTACCAAATCATAGATCTTCCAGAGAAGACCAAAGCGAATGAGCTCACTCGATTCGTGTCTGATCCTCCATTCTTTCTCATAGACAAGAGCAGAAAAGAAGTCACTTAAGAAAACATCCGGTGAATTCGCGACATGGAAGTACCAATGGACCTACCGAAAGAAATCCCTCATCCAGTTTATGAGCAAAGACCAATCAAGGAAGTCCCGAACTCTTTTTGTTGGAAAGAATGGTTAATCCGCCACCTTTCAATCCGAAGGTTTCATCTCTTCTTGTTCTTGAAGGAAAAAAATCATCACATAACATACATAAAGACATAAGATAGAAAGAAAGGAAAGGGAACGAACGAAGCGAAGCGCAGTGAAGGAGCGAAAGGTTCGATGTAATTGACGAAGCGAAGTTCAGTCATAAGCGTCTAGTCTCACTTTGCTCTCCTCGCATGGGTGGGAAATCGATTGATGAGTCAGTTACTTGACTTGCTTGCCTTTTCGATGACATTGCGGTTTAGGCTTGCCACTAGGCCTGATTCTCCACTTTTAGCCTTATGAAAGCGAAAGCCCCTAACTCCAAGAAGAGGCTTAAGTGCGAAAAGACTAGAATGAATGCCTACTCCAAAAAGAAATTGGGGGTACGAACGAAGCGCAGTGAAGTCATAGAGGATAGATGTAATTTAGACCATAGGGAGAGGAGAGGGTAATTGAGGCTCTACTGCCAATCGATCCCTCAAACCAGAAGAAGAAAGAAGTCAGATACCGATTTTAGGCCCGCATCTTTGGATGGTCCCATGGGTAATTGCTCAAAAGCAGAGAAAAGATCGGATAAGAGGCCTCCTATAGCTTTTTCTGCCTTCGTTAGCACCTTTCCCTAGGGCCTTGAGTGATTGGTCATGAGGAAGTAGAAAGGCTCGATGTAATTGACCTCATCCCAACGAACAAAGCGAAGCGCAGTGAAGTCATAAGTATTGGCGAAGCCAAGTTCAGTCATAGACAAAAGCAGGAGAAAGCGTAGGGTCGATGTAATTGAGATAGATGGTAGGACCTGAAGAGAAAGACTCAGGTAAGGCACCCGTACGAGCTTCAAGATTATTGTGTTCTTGAAGACGCGCCTTTTAGCAGGTCTAGGCCGAGATTTTTCTTAGTTTTTCTAGTTAGTATCGGTACGGCGTAAGACTAAGAGTGAACTCTCTTATTACTATAGACTATACTACATTTCGACTTTGGAAGGCCAAGAGCTGGGACCCTCTTTGTAAGCTACGCACCCGCCTTATATTAGAATAGACTTTATCCGAGCAGCTAAGCTAGGGATATGGGCTTTCAAAATAGGAGTGGTAAACTCGGCTTACAAAGAGGTGGCCTTTGGTCTCGACTTGACGCTTTATAAGGGGTCTGGTAGTCCTTTTGATGGGCTAGCCCACCTCGATAGTAGTACTGCGAAAACGGAGATTGCTCCTCCTGCTCGAGCCTATTTAGTTAAAGCGGGAGAGGAAAGGAGAGGAGAGAGGTAATTGAGCTGGGACCCTTTTTGTAAGCTCTGGTTATTGCTATTGCTAGTGCCTTTGCTGTACTGACTTAGTGTAACTGGTCTTAGTGGACTGAGAGAGCGAGCTGGAAAGGGGCTTTTTCCGTCTTTCCATGGCAAGCGTCTGATCAAATCAATAAAGAGAGCTAGCTTCGGTCTCACGTAGGCAAGGACGGACGAGTGAGGATTGCTCTATCTCTTAAGAGATTAAGAAAGGGGGTCCAACGACCTGCCTTATTATTAAAAGGTACGTAGTCTCTTCTTTTCTTTTTTGGCTCCTATTTAAACTATTATTGCGTCCTATTCTTGAAGGGGTGATCGGGGCCGCGTGGCCCGCGAAAAACAAAGGACTATTCGCTCTTTAGGGTGGGCTCAAATCCGAACGGGGAAAGGACAATTATTCAGCGCACTAAAAGATAGTGGATCTGGTTCACTATTAATTCCTCTATGACTGAACTTCGCTTCGAAAGATTACATTGACCTAAAAGGATGGACGAGTGTGTGTCCTGAACTAGATGAAGGGAATTAACCCATTTATCTGGTACTATAACCCCAGGATAGACTGATACAAACTTCGGTCACCCGCCCGAGACGTAGTAGAAACTCCTTCTCCTCCGAACAAGCCAACGAAGGAATGACCGAACGGATGAACAAGCGAATGAACGGAAGTAGCTCCGGTGGTGTACCAGTCTGATCTATCGGCTAAAGCCTATATATAGTATATATACAAAGCGAGCGAACAAGCTAAATAGGCTATGGTCAACCGCTATTCCTCAGTATAACCTCTGACCTATATATATAGGCTAAGCGTCACAGGAAAGCAGGAGAGCGATTGACCCCTTTTTCCTCTGCTATAAGGACAGACTCGACTGGGCTATAGTGACTTATAGGCCTACCCGGGGTGTAGTCTTCCTAAGCCAGTATGCAAGCACATAGGGCACGAACGAACTATCCCGCCTGTCTGATCAGAAGTCTAAAGAAGTCCAGGACTAGTACGCACGAGAAAGGCTAAGATAGATAGTCTAGGGGTTAGGACTACTACCTGTCTAACTACCTTCCTAAGGAGTAGGCAGAGTAGTCAGTCTTTGGTGTACCGTCTACCCCTTAAACTTTACCGATCTCAAGTCCAATTCAATGTAACCAAATCTCTATGACTTCACTTCTAAAGATGCAATTGACCTATGGTCGCCTCAGCTTAGGATCACTTATTTACCTAGGCTTTTGTCGGACCACTTTCCTCTTTTGGTGGAACCGTATATTACTACGCGAGTTGCCATCCCCCTTCGTTGATAGCTGTGGTTAGATCATGACAAATTTCTTTCTTTCGTTAATCAATGGAAGCCTATTTTTGCATCTCCTATGACTAAGCTTCAAGTGAAACTGAAAAATCTTCGATTAGTCCTACAGTGGAATTGGGCAGTAGAACCCCAGAGAAACCTTTTTTCAGGGTCTTAGATACAAACTTTTCGAAGCGCAGTGAAGTCATAGAAAGAAGGTAGAATAGAGCTCCCAAGCTGTTTATTATACCGGTTGATCTATCGTTTTTCTTGACTGAAATTGGCCTCTGAGAGCATCCCGAGCTTGGCACCAACCTTTGGAAATTCCTTACTACAACGGCTGATTCTAAGCCTTCTTCTTTATACCATCTCCCGCTCACCTACGTGCTCATGACTACATTGACTACGCCTCCTTCCAGTTAGTTGCCTATTGGGAGGGACTGCATCTCAGCATTTCAGATTGGATAATTCCACTTGCGGCGAGGTTGGCTTTTCATCTACTTATGAATGAACTGGGGAAGGCCTCGTTGAGGGGGCTCTACATCAGCCCTAAAAAATATCTGAGTTCGGACTAGCTGCGGAGTCCCGTACCCACCTAGATTAAGTCTGAGCAGCTAAGACGCGATTGCTGGGACTTAAACATCCGGCTCCTTTACTACTTCTGACTGAACTTCGCTTCGAAAAGTTTGTTGGGGTTTTGTCACGTAAGAAAATCATCAAATCTTGTTTGTACGTGATTGATCTTTCTATCCAAGAAGTAGGCGACTTCGGAGCTGCTCTTTCCTTTCCTCCCGACTCCATTGATCAGCGACTCAGGCACAAGTAAATGACATATATAGAGTCAATGGTTAGTTCGATGGCTCTTCTCAACTGGAATCCAAACCTTTAGTTGGATTGCTACCATATTAAACCAAAAGAAATGGAACTCAAAGGCCATGGTTAGAACAATGAGGCTATAGCTGATCACCTTTCCGCTATCCGCCTTGTTGTGATAGGGGGGCTTTTAGTTAAGCCCACCAACCAATCTTTCTTTCTATTTTTCATTCTTTTGGTGCCAGTGGAGCAAAGGAAGCGGGGGACGAACTCCTTGCTGAAGTAGCTCTAGTACATGGTTAGATGAATGAACCCCCGGGAGCTCATTTGAGAGTAGGTTTGCCTTACTTGCTTTACTCAAAAAAAGGCCTAAGCTTGAAGAAAGATAGAAAATATACTGAAAACTCGATTTTCAAAGAAAGAATCGTAGGACTTACTAACTCGGAAATGGCCTTACCCTTTCCAATACAATACTTACTGCTAAAGAGGTTGAGTTCAAAGGTAGGAACTGTAAAGAAGATATATATATTGAATTCAAGTCATTCGTGGACTGTAATCGATTAATCCATATTAAATAAAGCGAAAGGGAATCAAAGTTCTTACTTGCTGTAGCTCCGCCGGGGATTACTTTACTTGTCTGTTCGGCTAAGCGAGCGAGTCTTTCTGGTCTGGGACGATTCTCCTATCGTCTTAAGGGCGTCGGTGGAAGATGTTAAATGTCCTTTGCTTTCTCTCTCTTTCTTGAGTAGGGAGTCTAAGCGAGGGCTTGAGGTGGGTAACCATATCCCGTATCCCGTACGCAGTCTACCGGTAGTCTATTCCCGTAGTCCTTATTTCAGCCTTTTCTAGTTGCTAATTTTCATTCTATAACCAAGTTGCTATAAGAATACTTTATCAACCAACCTCCTGTAATGTAGGTGCAAAAGCTCCTATGTCTCTCGTCTAGCTTTAATGCTGCTAACTAAGCTTTGCCGCTCAAGGCATCAGCAACATTATTCAACCCTAGCACTGAAACTGTCTTTCTAGCTGACTTCCTTAAGTCAGATAACTAAGAGGAGAAGAAGGCTAATAAGATGCTTTTTGTTTTGCTCTTTCCCTTGCTTGTCTTTTTTCTTTTTTCAATGGGACTGATTTTCTTTCACTTCGCTTCGCTTCGAAAAGTTTGTTGGGTACTACTAGACACAACATAGCGAGAAGTCGTTCTGCTCTGTTCAGCTATCCCTAACAATAACAAGAGCGAGCGCTAGTGCTAGAGCTAGTCTTATCCATGTTGGGTTAGGGACGTTTCCCTACGCGGTGGAATTGAAAAAGCTCCTGCTTTGAGGTAGCACTTGACGAGGGTGGGGGATCAAAAATAGGCCTTTCTGAAGGCATAGAAAGAACATATGAGGAAGATGCTGCGGATATACAGATACGGAAGAGGTACCCGTCTGACCTTGGCTTAGTATCTCAAAGCGGATTCGTTGGGAAAGGAATTTCCCGAACTAAGTGACTTGGAAAATTATCCAGCATTCACCCGGAAGGAGAGGCCAACAAGAAACTAGAACAATTCAGCTTCTTTCTCGACATTGACGACAACCTACTCTTCGCGTCAGAAAATCGCCTAGGAATTTCCCATCTCTGGCTCAAATAAGCGGAAGGATAACCTAATTGAGAAGCAATACCATACCAGATGCTTCAAAGCAGCCGTTTGGAGATTGACAATGGAAGAGAGGTATTGATAGAGCCAGCTCACAGGACTAGACGAATCCTACTATTTTGGGAGTATGACTTATTACCCATTGGTAAGAAAGATGATTCTGTCTTCTGGTTTAAGGTTCATAAGGGGGTGCTCGCTACTATAAGACAGCTCTGCATTCCTTCGAGGCAATCGTAGCCAAGTTCTTAGATTATTCAAGCTATCGTGGTAACGATACTGAGGAGGATACCTAGCTAGTCTTGAACCAGAGCAGGAGAGCAAAGTGAGTCTCGACTAAAAGGAGAGGAAAGATGTAATTGACCTCGATTAGCAAAAAGCTCCCCGTTCTATCCTATAGACAGACTCTTTTCTTTGCTAAAGTTCAAAGGCCAGTTTGAAGAAGGTCCAATGTCCGTGAGAAGTAAGTGAAACTGCCGTTCAAAAGCTTTTTAAGGTGTGACGCGGGCGGGGCAATCAACCGGAGAACCAAGGAATGGAACTGAAAGCATAGGCTTCAGCCGAAGCTGCAACCAAAGATGAGTGGGCCCGGACACCGAACTATTGGCTTTAGCGACCCTGTAGATGAAAGACGAGTTCGGAAGTACTGGGTAGGTGCCTCCCCCACGAAATGTAGCTTATGCGGAACCTATTACTCCTCAACCACCAACTAGCAGCTCTTGATAGAGAAGCTCTGGTTGGGGAATTTGTGGGCGCTCGGTTTTTGTCTTTGATTGATGAAATCCTCTCTTATTGAATTTCTTCTTTGTGCCTATGACTGAACTTCGCTTCTAAAGATGCAATTGACCTTTCTTTGGACGACATAAACCAAAAAACATCCTCTAACTGGATGGGTCTAAAGAAAAGGCGTTAGCGTACTAAGAGCCCTCTGGTTGCATTGAAGATGAGCTTTTTCCTTCCCCCTAACTACACCTTGGTATGATTAAACTAGTTCATTCTTTTTCTCCTATCTCTTCGCTTCGAAAAGTTCGTTGGGGGAGGAATGATTGCATATAGAATCTCAATTTCCTCGGGCAAAACAAAGTAGTTACGGCGACTTTAAATAGCTTTTCAATCTCTTTCTGCAAGGTTTGAGTTCTACGATTGGCTTAGTAAAGGAGTAGAAGGCACTTTGATGCTCATTGGGTACTTTAGAGACATTGTTGTCTATGCATGAGGGACGTTCTGCGCTTTGGGAAAGATTGTTTTCACGAGCAACTGTCAGCCTATCCTGCATTAGCAGAAAACCGATGTTTGGACACAGGGGAGGGGGACCCGGTCATCCACCGTATAGTACCTCGGGGTCAGTAGCAAACGAAAGCGAGCACGAAAGGAAGGCTTAGACCAGCTCCTTGTAGTCCAATTGTCTTTGTCCCAATCCAATGTCTGTGATCAAGCCAGAAAGAATAGCAACATAGAGATCGAATTCGGTACAGATATAAAGGAAAGGTTAACAGCAAGAGCAGCGGAATCTTCAACTGATCCAGCCACACTCCCAAGAAAGAGAGAAAGGGCGCAATAAAACCGTCGTCCCCTTAACCGAGAGGATGCTGCTAGAAGACAGAAAGCAATCAATCAAGCAAGCACGCCTCAGGTCGGTTATCCTTTCTGAGAGGAAAAAGCCTTTCTTTGGTTCCCTTCCAGGAGCTGAAAGCCACTTTACCGATAGGTGAAGGATCGATAGCCACTCGACTAGATAGGCAAGCAGCTCCTAATCTTCCTTTTTGGGGAGGTGAAAGCCAAGGCAGGGAACGAGGGATTATAGGCTGACGGCTTCCTTCCTCCGATATGAGTGGAGAAGTATCTAGGGAAGTCCCCTATAATATAAAGCGAGTCCCGTTCCACTCTTCTCTCAATGTCAGTGCTGGGTACAGCGAGATCACTTTTCAGCTTGTTAGTCTGCTATGCATGAAAGCAAGGAGGCAAGATATATTTTAGTAAAGTAGAGCTAGACTGCATGATTGGCTTGTAGAAGAAAGAGTTGAAGGATTCTAGCCAAGACGGAGATGCAAGCTTGATTTCTGTCTCTGCTATTGGATGTCATAGTGTGGCACGCACTTTCTCAACTCTAATGTTAGCGGGTCTGCCTTATGTGATTTGAAAAGCTTTCGAAGAAGGATTTTGAAATTCCTTATTAGATCTTGAAACGAAATAAGAAAGAGTGTGGGATGAGGCATTGAAATCAAGGTTTCGTAGTTAGACCGTTGATACCCTGCCTAGCTGAATAACTGACCGACGGCGGAATGGTAAGCTTCCTCGTTCACTTGCGCGGGGCGGCACTTATTTCGTATGTGATGGAACTACAATGCTTGAGAGGTACTAGGTTCCAGTTTTGAGTCTGGCTTTTCGCTAGGAGAGTTTCATGCTTTGAAAGAGCAGGTCCGAAGTCGCATACTGATTGGATAGAAATATCGTGCAAACACGATTGACTTATTTTATGACGTGACGAAACCCCGTATTTTTGACATCAATCACTAAGAAGAGGTCCTTTTGGAGGTTCGCTTTTTAACAATTATCTTAAGATAAGTAAATTCTAAAATAGGTCATTTTTGATGCCAAAAACCCGGTTTTTTAGCATGATTGGACGATTTCAAAACAAGCCTTGTTAAATGCTTAACACATGCTGAAAGATGTAGCTCAATGCGCTATCTAAGCGCATCTCTTCTCGCGCAGAAGGAAGCAGCCTAGGAAGCCAATTAACATTGCCTCACCGAGTCATATTTAGGTTTGAAGTCGTTGGCCTCGCTTTTCCTTCCTCCGATATTCAATAGAAAGAAGTAGGACAAACCACACTTCCGAGGAGGGAGTCAAGACAAATTAGTTATGGTGAGCCTGGCACTTTTGATGCTTCCCGCAGTGAACGTGAACAGGCCTGTGGGCGAGGGAACGGTGGGCTACTCTTTGCCCACCAGGGAAATAGATAGACCAAGCAAAGCATAGGATTCGAACTTCAGGATGAAGCTCATACTAACTCCGCGAGGGCAGATACAGAAGCAGAAGAGGCTCTTGATCAAAGCCATCCGTAGTCAGCACGTCAGAATTTGTAGCTAGGGGGGGCTACGATAGCTAGACCGCGGAAAGAAGAAGACAAATGAGTTGTTTTATCTCCTAAATCTCTTCCAAAACAGCGCATTCGATAGCCATTATATAATCAAAAGTCGCGGGTCAGGCTGCGCCTAGCAATCAAGAAAGAATGGGGACGACCGGCACCAATGGCGCCTACTAGCGCAAAGAAAGCCAGAAGCCTAGCTTCCTTCCGCAAGGGTGACTCATCATAAAGAAGGCTTTCTATATCTATAAGGGCTGCGAGAGAAGAAAGATCAAACTCAGTTGAAAGCACCAATACCAGGCCAGGTACTATCAAACTAGCAATAGAAGGCATAAGAATTTAGGAAAGCAAGTCTCATGTGACCCAATCAACAGCGGAACTAGAGCTCTGATCTGATAGAGGTCTTTTCTGGCAGATGAATCATAGGCGCGAGGTCATTTGAAAGAGAATTCCAATCGCTTGAGGAGCTGACCCGTGGGAACACCCAAAGAAAGACTCCCTGGTCTCTCTCATGCGACCCATTCTAAAGCAATAGACTAACCCGTGGGTGTTGGAGAGCAAAGTGAGATTCAACAAACTTTTCGAAGCGAAGTGAAGGCTCGATTCAATTGACGTTCGTACCCCTCTCTTTCGCGCTTTCGCGTTCACCCGAAGTATAGATAGGGTGATAAGTGAAGCATGAAGAACCAATCCGAACTGAGGGTCGATGTAATTGAGGAGGTGAGCCGTTAGGCTAACAGTATGTAAGGAGCGAGTCGAGCCAAAGGACGAACGGGGCTTTCTTTTGGCTCTGTGCTGCTTTCTATTCCAAGTCAAGTCCTCTTCGTAGCGTAGCTATGAAGCTGTATTCGTCCTGTGAGCCTACCGGTGAATCGGAGATCCAACCCAGCCAGGTATATTAGCCTATGCTCGCCTCTCGGGAAATACGTTAATTTCCTTTTTATTTGAATACCCCCGGTTTGCAAGCCTTTCCTACACCCTTCTCTACCACACTGCCTTCTGTAGCATCCCAACAGCTTTCTACTATTTGTTTGCATTCGTCATGAGCAGTCCACATTGCTTGAAAGCAGAATGGACGTTTTGATCTATCAACAGTTAACTTTCCCTCACACTGTAGTAAAAGAGGGCAGTGATCAGAATGTAGTCGAGGCAGATGTTTGACAGATGCTTCTGGGAATAATAACCGCCAAGACGAGTTAGCGAGAACCCTGTCCAAGCGCTCCTGAATTCTGGCTAGCCCATGTCTCGTGTTACACCACGTGAATGCTGGCCCCTCAAATCCCAGGTCGCTCAGGCCACACGTCGTCATCATGTTATTGAGTAGTACACATCTGTTCATGGAAACCACTCTGCCCCCAAACTTCTCACTGCTATGACTGACTTCATTGAAGTCCCCCATCAGCATCCAAGGGAGACCTAATGAAGAGGAAAAAGCTTCCAATTTCCTCCATAATTGTTGCCTAACCAAAAACGTTGGACTCGCATACACAATGGACAAAACAAACTCCGTGCCACCGCGCCTCCTAACTAGAGCATGAATGAGCTGTGGTTCAGAATATAAGATATCCAAACTAACAGTACTCGAATCCCAACACAACCAGATACCCCCTGAGAACCCAACTGGATCTTCTATATGAAACTTATCAAACTTCAGCCTACGAACAGATCTCTTAGCTTTGACACCAGATATTCTAGGCTCGACCACTGCAAAAATCGCTGGGCTTGTGTCAGCTAGCACCGATCTTCTAGTTGTTTATTAAACAGCATTCTTTCTAGCTGAATAACGTAGGCCGGTACCCTCTGAGCCTTCTATTGAATAAAAAGAATCTTATTATATAACTTAGTGAATTCCTTTTGCAACACTCCTTCGGACCCAACGAACGAAGCGAAGCGCAGTGAAGTCCCGGAGAGGAAAGGTGTAATTGAGGCGAGAAAGCTCATTAACTAACAGCTTAAGGGAATCCACTTGCTCTTAGCCCATACCTTTGAATGGCTGCAGGCTATTGCGGCGACGGATTCCTCAGCGACTTCACACAAAAAAACAAAAAGAAAGAAGGACTTGCTTTCGCTAATAAGTTACTGTGAGATTCTTTCTCATAGCAGTGCGGAATCTTTCTTCAAAGCATTGAATAATCACAAAAGTTTGAAAAAGAGAGTCTTTTTCTTCACTTCGCTTTGCTTCGTTCGTTGGGTAAAGAAAGAAAAGTTTTCCGCCATATGACTGAACTTCGCTTCGCTTCGTTTGTTCGGTCAAACTACGTAAGTTTTGTTTTCTTCCTTAGGCCCACTGGTCTCGCATCGATGCTTCAACTCCCTCATGAGCACTCTTCGCAAAGATGAAGTGCGTCCCCTGGACGTGGCTTCTTGTGCCAACTACACCCTTGTAGCACCTCCTTTCCCCTACAGTAGATCCCCTGATCCAACAGTCATCTCCAATGGAAACCCAAGCCCAAGATCACCCAACAAAGCCTGACGATTTCATGAACATGGCTGTCCCGTGTTAAAGAACACAACTCCCCCGAGTCCCGTCTTAATCAAGCCCCCGCTTGTACGGCTTTCGTCGCTTCCTTGTGCAACCATAGCACTCGCCCAACAAAGGGTTCTCCCGGATGCTAGTATACGTCGCTTACCCCCATCATCTTGATGCTCATGCTCACATCATCTCATAAACTTCACCATTTGGCTCGATGCAATTGACCTCCTTATGTGCGTAACCATCTTACCGGAATCGAGGGCTTTCCCATTTGCCCAAAATCCCCTTGTCCCCACAAGGTTCCCGAACTTTGCCCGAGTGCGCCACCACTCAAGCTAGTTGTGAAGGTACTGTAGCATCGTATCTCTAACCAACCCATTACGGCTCCACGGATCGTCAACAACGATACCTCGAAGTCGCTCTCGCTCCCATGGCATTATGGAGTGAACTTCAAAAGCACCCTCTTCCCAAAATTATACCAATCATAGCGCCCATGCGCTTCACTGGACATGATACACGCCTTGACCTCAAAACCCCCAACATGGCTGTAGTTTCCCTTAAACAGCATGGTGTCTCCCGCTACCTTTCGGTACACCCACCGACATCTTTGTTTTCCAGTGCCCCAGTTGTCTTTCTCCACAAACGCACGCCCCTTGATCCCCGCAAGTGACTGTGTCTATTCCACACAAACTGGCTGATATCCCCAACCAGAGCCAACCAAAGCTGTTGAACTTCTACCAAAATGTAGAACAAGTCTGCCACAACAAGCCCACATGATGGCTGTCAACAACACCTTGTCCCTGATCGTGGCCCACTGCCGAGTGCCAACAAAGATGTAACCACCAGCTTTGTTACCCACTCGCTGAATCCAATCACATGTGCTCAGTTAAAACGTCCACCTCTGCACAAACTGTCCCTGAGCAACTGTACTGATTCCCAATCCAGTAGTACCTGGGTTCTGCGGAAGCAAAGAAGATAGAACCTCGTTGAAGGATTCCGCTCGGACAACCATTCCCTCCTGGAATGATGCCTACTCGCCGAGTAACTCCCCCCCATAAGGAGCAATTCGGCTCTAATACCACTTGTCACGGCCCCAGAGAAATGCAGCGGAATTTGGACCGTGCGGCGCCATGACTCCACCAAGTCAAGGCCATCCTTACACCATTCGACTCTTTTTACACAGTGACCCTTCCTGAATACCATTATTCCATATCGAGGTTTGCCAACAAAGAACTCCTCTCAAAGAGTCCCGCACGCTAGCGGCTAAGCGTCGCTTCATGGTGTCGGGGCACCGAGCCAAGACACTCGCCCAACGAATAGGCTCTCGTTGTCATCAAGGCTACTAGCCACATAACTGATCCCCTATATACGCTAGGCACAGCTGTATACCCAACAATGTGCAAAACCCCTCGCCTCGACACATGCACTCGCAGGTCTCCTTTTCCTCCACCTCTGAGAAAAAGTCTAAAAAAAAAGTCAAATTTCCATTCTCAACGCCGGTACAGACGAACGATCTTCTAGTTCAAAACCTCTTAATAGCATAGCTCCCTCACTTCACTGTCCTATGAGTGAGAAATAGGAGGAAGCCATAATGGTAAAAAAAACCTGAATGCCCCGCACTTGCTTACTAGATCGGCAGGAAAGACAGGTTCTGCCTTCACTGACAAAGATGGAGGTTAGGTTTTTCAATTGAGGGTGGGGGGAAAAGACGGATCTTCACCATTGGTAACTACGTAAACCAAAGGTTGTTACACCTAATTCATAATTGGTTGGCTCAGGTCCTTTTTTTCCCATTAATTAAGATGGAAGGGACCTTTGCTCAAGTAAGGCCTCTTGATTTACTAGTTGGCGAGCAAATTTGTATTCATTTGACCTAAAATCAGCCACGGACAGATGGCCGTTGGTCTTTATGTTTGAGGTCTTTGATCGTAACTTTTCATCAGCGGTGGTTAATTCCTGTCTAGCAAGAAAGCTATTTTAAGTACCATTTGTATGTAAGACGAAAAGGGACTACAGTAGCAGTTGTCATCGCAGATGAATCAGTGGCTAAGGTGTACGAGCAGGTACTTGGTGAGTTAGAGGTTCAAATATCATATCAAAAATCTCGAATCTCCCGTACCGGCTGTGCAGAGTTTGCCAAGCTCTTTAGAGTTCGTGCTTTGAGTAAGGACCTTAGTCTGGTCTCAATCCGTAACCTTTTGAACTACTTTCACCCCTATGGTCTGATGAGTATTTGTCAGACCCGAAAGCTTTTTCAACCTTTAGCTAGGATAGGTGGTTGTAAAGGACAGGCTTTGGCTAGACTTTCTCATAGTAGATCTCTTCATTTTGATAAAGTGTATACTATGTTCACTAGACGCCTTTTCCCTATCAGTTATTGGTAGGGGGAGACCACTTTCCCCCTATGTAAAGGGTCGATAATTCGACATCTTACGGACTTTCGACCTAAGCAGTTCTCTCTCATTCCTGATTAGTTCTTTATTCATCCAGAGGTGAAGGACTGAGATGAGTGGAACTTGCGATCGGTCAATCCTCATTCACACGTTCAACCGAACATCACATCAATGGACGCAAAGATAGGTGCTTATTTGGTCTATCAGCTACTCGGCCAGCTACTGACCTAATTGGGTTCAGTCAATGAAATGATTCACTTACGGGATATTTGGAAAAAGGCGCAGCACTGGAACTGCTATGTAGGCTTTTGTTTATGAAAAAAAAGAAGTGTGTACGATACCGCTTTCAAGCTCAAGCTTCTCGGGCTAACTTCTCAGGCAACGCTCTCAGGCAGAGTTCTTCCGCACGTCAATTACATCGAACCTCCTTCTGTCTTTTCATCAAAATCAATATCTGTCCAATTGTGCTGTGGGTTCAAAAAATCTTTCAAAAGAAAAGTTTCTTTTGCCGGCTAGTGGCTATCTTACCTATTGATTAAGGTGCGAAACCCCCCCGCAAACAGTCTTTCTTTGTCCAATTCTTCCCGCTAAGAGGGCATTTTCCCGTGCTCCAACAGAATTCGATGCCATCCTCGTCTACTATTACCCGAAGGAGATAAAACCTACCATTCCGGGCATACCATCTAAAGCTAAGAAAATCTTCTCTTTCAAGCAATTTGTTCACCCGAAGAGTTTCTCGTTTCCTTTCGATCTGGTGAGACTTGAAGATCCCGACGTTGTTTTCCTTATGGAGACTTGGATCCGGTCCCGAAAGGTGGATGACGTCAGAAGAATAACGAAGTTTAAGAATGGTTTATGTATTGACCCTTGTGGCAAGAAGGGCGGTCTAGCATTGTTTTGGAAAGACGAGGTTGACTTACGCATTTTTTAGTATTCCACTGTCTTTTTGGATGCTGTGATTGAGAATCACGATCCGGCTAAGCGTTGGCGTTTAAGTGGATTCTATGGACATCCCAAAGCCTCGCAGAGAAAACATTCTTGGCAACTCCTCATCAGACTAAGCAACCAGTCAAACCTCCCATGGCTCGGTGAAACTAATTCAATTCTGCACATTAGTGAAACGACAGGGTCGGAAGATCGAGCACCGAGTTTAATGCGAGCCTTCAGAGAGGCGTTGGCAGACTGTACCCTACATGATCTTGGGTACATGGGACATGCTTTCAAATGGTCAAATCGAAGAAAGGCCGGCGGAGAAGTACGAGAGCACTTAGATCGAGCTGCGGCTACGGCTTCTTGGTGTGAGTTATTTTCCCTAGCAGTGGTAAAACATCTGGTAGCCTCCACTTCAGATCATGATCCTATACTACTTAATAGTCAAGTTCAACCAAGGGGGCCCCAGAAGAAGTTATTTCGATTCGAGTCGCTGTGGCTTGGAATAGCCTAGTTAATGGATCAGCCCTTTCTCGAGTCAGTCAAAAGATTCAATCGTGTCGTACTAATCTTATCTTAACCGGAGTGATCAAGACCAGTTACTCCTTTGTGCCAGCACTGGCGAATTGTATAAAGCCATGTTTATCCACAGGTTCGATATAATTGACCTTGGTTGTGAGGGAGGTTGTAGTATCAATTTAAAGTGGGCTTGCCGATCTGACTTCCCGCCTCCATTAAGAGTTCGTCATTAAAGTCTTCCAAGGGATCCAGAACTCTCCGAGGTATGGGGTTTCGTCCCAACTTGAAGCAGGAACTTTTAGATGAGTTGCAAACAGTGCTCGCTCAGGAGGAGATGCTTTGGTTACAAAAGTCCAGGTTACAATGGATAGTGGATGGTGAAAGAAAGAAAAAATAAGAGCTTGAATACCACTTGTAAATAATCCAAGGAACATGACAGGGATAGGAACTACTGAAGGGTCGATGTAATTGAGAAGAACAACAACTACTAATGAATCCGCTAAGATATTTCCAAAAAGTCGAAAACTAAGTGATAAGGGTTTTGTGAAATCTTCTAAAATGTTAATGGGTAAAAGAATTGGGGTTGGTTGAATATATTTCCCGAAATAACTTAATCCCTTTTTTTTAAGACCCGCATAGAAATATGCCACTGACGTGAGTAAAGCCAAAGCAACAGTAGTCTTTATATCATTCGTGGGTGCAGCTAACTCTCCATGAGGTAATTCTATGATTTTCCAAGGTGACCAATTAGAAACAAAAATAAATAGAAACATAGTTCCGGAACCCAAGGGCCATATTCTTCTCCAATTTGAGTTTGACTCACATCTCGAATGAATTCAAGAACATATTCGAAGAAATTCTGACCCCCGGTCGGAATGGTTTGTGGGTTCCGAACAGCTATAGTAGCTGAACTTAATAAGATAGCAATTACAACCCAAGAAGTAATAAGTACTTGGCCATGGACTTGGAAACCCCCTATTTGCCAATAGAAATGTTGGCCTACTTCGACACCTCCTATATCGTATAACCCTTTTAGTGTGTTAATGGAACATGATAGCACATTCGCCTTAGTTCTTGGGTAAACGGCTCTTAAGGGACTTGAATGAACCCTTTTCAGTAGTCAATTTCACCTTCCCGAGGGTTAGGGTCAAGGGTTGGTCGAGACTCACTTTGCTCTCCTCTTCTTCCTAATCCCAGGTTCTCATTCTATTTCTTCCTATGGGAAGAACAATGGCTCAAATAGGATTGGTTCGCGAAGAGGCGACTTAGTTCGTTCCTTTGAATTGGAATTAGCGTAAGAGATGTTCGAAACCCCTGTGCCCTTGGTTGAATGTTGAAGTAATCTCGACAAAGGAAACCAATGCGAGCCAGGCCATAAAGAAAGAGGAGATCAACCTAGCAGAGGAATAGTTAGAACGGGTCCTGCGATAACCAATTGAAATTAATACCAATACCGGATTTATATCTCTGACTTTGATCCTAACTAACGGACCCTATGAACCTAAAAGCGGGTATTATCGCCGCTATTCCTACTGAAAAAGCCTCAGAGTAGGAAATTGAATCCAAAAGCTGCCCAAAGGCTGTTCACTTTGCCGAGAGGGAAGCCAAGAGCTGGTGAGTTCCAGTCTAAAAGACGACACCTGACTAGGCTATCCCCCAACTGGGGGAATAGGGTTGGTGTGGCTTCTTATGGCCTAGGTGCTTTCTACAATCAATAAGAAGAGAGCAGGAGCAAGGTCAAATTCAATCTTTCGAGAGGATCATAGGTGCGCAGAGCTTTCGCATGTTTGTACATGTTGTGCAAGAGTCGGCCTTTGGGGCTTGTCTTCTATTTCCACTCGGGGATATTAAAGGGAAGATTGCGCCGTCGATCTTGAGCAGGAGAAGGTACGCGTTACGCATCAATTCAGCTTCCAATTCTGTCCTTTTTCTCGAGAAATTGACGAATCTTTCTACTACAGTTGTCCTTTAGGTCGGAAGTTCTTAGGTCATTTTGTCAAGGGTTGTGGGGAGGGTGTGATTCAGTCTTTGACTTCACTTCGCTTCTAAAGATTACATTGACCTACTCCTTCCCTTTAGTAGATATAGGAAGCCCTTTGTAAAGATTCTTTGCCACATGGCTCCGCTACGACTCATCAACCAAGGTCAATTACATCGAACCTGACGTTTTGATGGCCAGACTCCTTGCCATATCCTTCTTTTTTTAGAAAGTTACCGACGAAACCCGACCTTCGCTCGCTTAGTAATTGAGGAGACCTAGATTAGGGTACAAACGAAGCTAATGTAACGGAACAAAGTTTTCGAAGCGAAGCGAAGAAAAGGAATAGAGATTTGGCATATAATTTCATTGAATTGATTCACCGCCATCTACCAAAATGGAAGAGTTCAGGTCGGCCTACTCACTTACGCAACTCCATTTCGTTGATCGAGTAGCCACTAAAAGCTCAATTACATCTTTTGTCTATGACTGAAAAAAGCTTCTAAAGATTACATTGACCAAAGGGCGAGCTCAATGTAATCGACCCTTGATGAGTTCTTTTCTTCTATTCGCTATCGCCTTCGACTTTCGATCTCAAGTTAGCGAATGAAAAGACAAGACAAAAGGAAGACAAAGACAAGACCCAACGAACGAAGCAAAGCGAAGTTCAGTCATAGAAACCGGAAGGTGCGCTCGCTCCTCTAAGAAAGGCGTGGAAAGCGTCAGTGGCGAGTCTGGCTAATCGTGAATGAGTCCCCTGTCTGCCATACGGGGGATTCAAGCTAGATTTACCTAGTAAAGAAAAGAGGGGAAGAAGCGAATACGAAGACAAAACCCGAAAGGGAAGAAAAGATTGAACTACTCTCTCCTTTCCTCTCCTCTCCCTTATTTTTGACTTCACTGCGCTTCGAAAAGTTTGTTTGGTCGAGCGTTAAAAAGGTAACCTCTACGCAAACAGAAAAAGACTGGGACCGTAAACTCCAAAGGTAGCAGGTCAATTACACCAGGACTGAACTTCTAAAGATTACATTGACCTGGCAACTAAAAGTCTCACTTTGCGATCCAACAAACTTTTCGAAGCGAAGTTCAGTCATAAAGCCCTCAAGAGCTACTAGGCACGGAATTATCTACTCCTCAGCATAGTAGTCTTAGCTTTCGGTATTCCTACCTTCCCCGTACCTTTTTCCATGCCCCTGTCGCCTTTAATATCATATATGATACCATATGGATATTCCTTATTAATACAACCGGACATGTCTCCCAAAGAATTTCAGTACATATGGCGCAAGATCCTACGACATCGGGTTTTGGAGACCCACGTTCTACCGAACTGTACTAAATTATGCATTCTTCCATATAATGGCGTATGAAACCAATCTCGCTCAGTTCAACTAATAAGTAAGACCTCTGGGGCGTCAGCTTGGGGATAAATCACCTGTCATCCACAGTTCAAGGTTAGTTACGGCGTAACGAGCGGGAACTCTTTCTTTAAAGTGAGCTACAACCAACTATCAAGAAGTGCCTTCCCTGGTTTGATATTAGACACTTTACTATCCGGCGAACGCTACCGGGTCGTAGTATAGTTAGTTTATTGACAATAGGGGGACTTTCCGATGGCACACTAACATTCCCACCTTTCCTCTCTCCTGTAAGAACTCAGCTAGCAAAAAGACATTAACGTTATTATTTAAACAAGGTTCGATGTAATTGTCTCGACCAAAGGGAGAGGAGGGCTTGTGAGACTCTACAAACTTTTCGAAGCGAAGTTCAGTCATAGAGGAAGTCTACGATGGAAGAAAGCAGTGTTACCGGTCTCCTTAAGCCAGTCAGCTCTGCTGCGTTGAGAGTGGAAATCGTGGTTTTGCATCAAAATGTAAAGACAAAAGTACGATGCAATTGACCTCGAGCTCCCGGATGGCTCTCTCTTCCGTATAGCCGTGAACATCTATCTCATAGTGGATCTCATCAAGAGTGGCCTGAGCAGATTCAAGATTGCGATAGATATCAACAAATGTCGTACGATTCCAAGCTCGGATGTCATAGCGAAGTCTACGTAGCTTTGCTTGGATACAGTGAATTGGAGTCGTCGCATGCACTGGACCAGACCATGAAGAAAGAACGATGTCCCGAAATGAGGTTCGATGAAATTGAATCGACTTCAAGGAGAGGAACGAACGAAGCGCAGTGAAGTCAAGAATGCTTTTGAAGAGCCTTATTCGGCTGAATCAGCAGATTGGAAAGTGGGTGATCCTACTTCTGTATAGTACAAGGATCTAAAAGGCTTTCTCTGTTGATGCTTGTGTTCTTGCGGTACCTTCGAGGTCGAGGACAGGCCAGTGGCAGTATATAGCCCTGATATAGGATTTGAATGACTTGTTATCTCTCGTCTTCGTGAGTGCAAGAACGATCTTTCTTTACCGGGGGAGAGATGCGGATTCTCTTGGGGGATCATAGCTCGATAGCTCATCGATAGTTGAATTCCTCTCCTTTATAGTCGAGATCTTTAAACCTTTCCCTCTTTTCACCCAACTTTAGAAGCTTTTTTCAGTCATAGAAATTTTGGTTGGAAGAAGCTCTTATCTTAAAAAGATAGGTCCCGGGGAAGGAATGCAAGCGACCTGTAAGCTTCTGGGAGTTCTGCTCCAGCCTGTCTCAGCCCTGATTCTCCTATTTTCTTTCCTGTTGGGGATCCTTCTTACTCTAAAGGGGTGCTGTTCATAGCTCTTCGCATTGTTGCACTTCACTTCGCTCGCCTTCGCCTTAGTATATCTTACGATATACTCGTCCTCTTGTATTATAATACGCTTCGCGACTACCTAAAAGCTCATTCTGACTCTTCGACTTTTACAATGGGGACTGAACTTCGTTCCTTTAGCCCTGTGAGCTTAGCAGCTACTCTTCGTTTTATTATAGGACTTCCTCAAAGCCGCGTATTACATCTCCCCCTTTCGCCTCTTTGGCAGGCGCCACCACGTATAAAAGGCTTGTGAACAAGATGTTCAAAGAACAGGTAGGACGGTCCATGGAGGTGTACGTAGACGATATGATAGTGAAGAGTCCAGCACTAGAAAGACACATCCATGACCTTTTTTTTTCATCTTTTATTCCTCACTCCGAAGCTACACGNCGGAAGCAGGAGCATGGTTTATCTTCTCAATTACATCGACCCTCTCGCGTAGTGAATTCCTTCCTTCTGAGCTTCATCTAGTCAACAGAGAAGGGGAATAAGAGAATCAATGTATACTTCCCGCCAGTGTACGGATGAATAGGTAGGAGCTTCTTTACTTTAGGGCTTAAACCAGGGATGAGTGGGAGAAAGCAGTCCAATCTTTTCATTCCTATATGGATGATAGAACCGCCTTCGACTGGTCAGCAACGAAGAGAGACGGGGTCGTCGAACAAGTGTCCCTGCTGTTGCTCCTCTGGTGAATTTAGAGATTCAAACCCACAGGTGATATTTTGCTAGAGGAAGGATAGGAAGATCTGTACAAGAAAGAAAGTAGATTAGAAAGCGTTAACAAGACCAAGAGAACTGCCTCAACTACGTCGAGCCTAAGGCTTAAAATGACATAGAATAAGTGGAATCTCATGCCAAACTGTGAGGGAGGATCCTCAGGACTTAGAGAACTACCTGGGATGCTTTACAAGCGATATTCCAAAGGAATGGGAACATTGGTTACCATGGGCAGAATAGTGGTACAATACCACTTATCATTCGGAAACCAAAGAAAGAGCCCGTAAGGTAAGGAGGACGGTTAGGTGAGGTAGCAGCGAACAAGCGGAATACCGGGGAGACCGGCTTTGACGAAGAGGTCTTTCCATGGCTTTTTTGCCTTGGTCTCGTGTTCTGTCTGAATGATCCCGGTCGCTTGCTTTCTGTTCATATAAGGCATACAGCTCCGTTTGGGCGGGAGCTCCGGAGGAGGCTTTCTTCAATCAAAGATCGGCATAAGAGAATGCTCATGTTCAATGGCTCTATATGAATTAGCCGTTTTTGATCCCTCCGATCCCGTTCTTGATCCAATGTGGAGACAAGTTCGTTATACCCTTCATGACTCGTTTAGGAATAACAGGGCGGTTGGAGTAGGAAGCAAAGCGTTGAGCTTTACTGAGTCAACCAAGTAGGGTCGTTGGTAGTCGGCATCGATACGCTGCGAAGGAAGTAGGTGAGCTACAAAGGGTCCGACGGAGATGAGCCGTAAGGCGAAGAGGACACAACATTTCATCCTGCCTGAATCGGTATTCATAACTCCGGTATGTTCATTAAGCGATCTTGTCGACGAATGCCGTGTTGCAATGATCAATTGAAATCGTCCTAACCTTAAATAAGGATCCGAAGGAGATTCTTTATACACAATGGTATGCTCTTTGACTTCACTTCGAGCTCTTCTTGTCCTTCACTTGCTTCTGTAATCTATTGTTCATTAGTTACACGGGTCAGTTAGGGACTCAGTCCAGAAACTTAATGTATTCGGTCTCATCAAAGCTATCTTCGCTCACCACCCCGGTCCTTCCTTCCTCTTCCCATGATAAAGGCATTATTTACATACCGTGGTAGAAAAGGCCAGCCTTTAGAAAGAGCTATGCTAAGTACAAGGCGCACAGTAGTGGACTTTACAACAGGGCTCAAAGTCTCGGTATAATCGATCCCCTCTTCACACCCCGTGAGGTAGCCGACCACTACGATTCTATTCCTGCATTGCCCTTTGGCCCACCACTACTTCTGGCTGCTTTATTGGATTTTGAAACCGCCCTCCCTCTTTACCATCTGCTTTAGGTAGTAAAGAAAAGAAATCCATGCTTATCGTTTCCCAAGCAAGCTCCATTGGGTACTGCAATTGGTTCAAGCAATAGCTATGCTCTCTCTATCCTTTTTTGAACTGACAGACCTCACTCGAACTGGCAATGGCTGGGACCTTATCGCTTCGATTCGAGACTTAGTAACTCGTAATTCCATTTTTCATTAGTCTAGCGACTCCTTGGCTATGCTATTCGCCCTGCCCTTCTTCTCGACTCTGAAAGAGTTCTATACCTGCTTGACTCACTTACTTAGAAACTTAAAGTCAAGTAGAACCCGCACTCACTTACTCGTCAGAAAGTAAAGCATAACTTCGGACCTTCTATTGTTAACATCGGCTAGACAGTATTATAGGCTCTGGCAACTTGAAAAACCTCCAACGAGATTGTCAGTGAAATACGTGTAGAATGAAGTTCAATAAGCTTTTGCTTCTTTGCTTTCGATCGAGCGAGATCCATACTCTTACTTCAACCATGCTTTTCCTTATTTTCTTCCTATTCCTTCACAACTATCTAGACCGTACTGCCAATGCTTTGAGACTTTGATTGGCTACCTAGTCCTATGCGTTATTGAAATCAACCAACGATTCGAGTTCTTCTCGCATAGACTCATGTCTCCAAGCCGGCCATACATAATGTAAAGAGTTTACTAGATCCCGCGAGGAGAAAGGAAGATAAGAGATTGTGAAAAGGTGAGGACACCCAGATTGGGACGATCAGGTCGGTTGAGTACAGCACCCAAAGGCATAGGTGGATTTCCATTCTATTTAGATATTCGGCTCAATGTAAGTAGCTGTCTTGTAAGCTCAGGACTATTGGTCTCTTGATGAACGAGCTCTTGCTGCTCTCGAAGCAGTCTTGCCTAAGCCACATGAGGCATGCAAAACCTGCCTTAAAGGAAGTTAGCGATGCTATACTTGTATGCAAATAAAGAAAGGAAGTGAGGCAAATCTTTCTACGTAAGTAAGAATATTGGCAAAAGCGTCAGGGACCGATATAAGAGTAGTTCCCCGAAACTTGGGCTCCATACGTCAAGATCTTAAATTAGAGATCTCTATTCAGATATCCTTAACCATGTACATATTCATATATTTAGGTATTTAGGAGAAGAGTGCTCTTCTATTTGGTACCCTCATATGTCACGTAAACTAATGAAGCTAATCTATATGCCTCTTGTCTATGGTCAAAGCCAATTTAGTGCAATTACTGATATTCAGCAAGCGCTGGAGTATGCTCTATCAAGAGCAGCTGCTAACCGTTCCCTTCTTTGCTTGCTGTCTTTCTCATTAATATTTGTTTGAGGCGTAAAGCTGAAGAGTACGAAGGTGATCAGCGTTGGCTGATTGAACCGTAGTTTTCGCCTTCTTGGCGTGCATTATGATGACCACCGGGCTCCTGATGCTCCTGCTAACCAGGGTGAAGGAATATCGGAGAAGCGATTGTGTCGTGTCGGGGCATCGGTCTATCGGAGCTCGAAGAGCGGTAAGATTGGCGCTTCACGTTTGCCTGTGGATTTTGGCAAGGGGATGAAGAGGAGGGCAGTTCTTCGAAGGGATCTGATTTCCCTTCTAGCGCTGATGATTTTATTTATGCTTCGAGATTTGTCCCTTCGAGTGATTACGATCGGCCCCCTAAGCGTGATTGGTCTACGAGGGAAAGTGTCCTTGAGGAATTTGGACTTGGCGATTTTGAAGGTGCAGTGGAGCCAGAGAATGCCTCTCCTTCGAGGAATTCTACATATGTGCAAGATCTGGTTGGGGGCCAGGTTTTTGATGATGAAGCACCTTTGCTGAGTGAAGGGTCGAAGGGGGCTAGTGCTCCCTGCTCTAAGCTTGTTTTGCCGGTGAAGGGCTATGTTAGCTCCGAGGCTGAAGCCCGGTTCGTGGAGGAGAGCTTGAGCTATTTCTGCTGCCACTAGCTGGTCGACTCTTTGGGGACCTTGCCTGTTTCTAAGCTCTTCCCTTCGATTGAGCTTCATTGTCTAAAGGTTATATTATATCTCCGCGTGTGCATTTTTTAACATATTCCACTTATTACCTAAAACATTATGTTTTATGCAGATGCTTCTTCTTAGTCGCTGGATGAAGGGACATCCTCCTTCTTCTCGTGATACTACGTCGGAGCTAGCTTCGAATAACTCTGAGCTGGAACAAGAGCTGGGAGGGCTTAAAGCAGAGGTCGCTTCTCTTGAGGCGGAGCTGGCGGCATCGGAGTCCTCCTTAGCTGACATTGTGCGCGTGGCTAACGGCTCGAAGGAGTTATTTGAGGAGGAGGGGCTGAAATTAAAGTCAGAGTTGGTGGCTGTTCGAAACGACTGAGTGTGTTATCGAAGCGACAGCTTCGGTTAGCCGCGACATAACGGAAACAAAGGGCATGCACCAAAGCTTGGTTAATCTATCGAAGTCCGTTTTATCAGAAGGTGCTGCTGTTAGCTTCGAAAGTTTCCAATACTCTGAGTTCGCTTCATACTATTCCAGGGCCACGTAGTTGTGCCCAAGGCGACCTCCTAGGTTATTTGGAGTGGTTTCAGGCTCAGATTAATGGCTTCGTTAAGGCGTCAAATAGCCACACTGCTGCTACATGCTGCACGGCTTTTCGTGGCTTCATAAGTGACGTGCAACACAGGGGCTGTGATCATTTTCTATTTCCGAAGGGCTTCGTTTTCCCTTCGGATCCAACAAGGTACCCGAAGGATGTTAAGGCTTCGACAAAGGTTTTTGGAGATAAGTATTTCATGCCTCGCAAGAAGGGTTTGGTCGCCAGGCGCTTCACTGAACTCCTGCTTTCCAGTCTGCGCTTCGCTTCCTCTCGGTCGAGTAAGATTCGTAGTAGCTAATTCCTTCGCTTCGTAACACAGTAGCTAGCGGCTGAAAGCCAAGACAACTTGGCCCTAGCGGCCTTGAGCGACTGTGAAAAGAAAAAAGCGCGTGCTGTCCGGTTCGATCTGATTCGCGCTATTCATACGGTATGGAGCCATGGTTTTTCGCTGCCCCGATAGCTCATCTTATCTAGGGCGAGCAAGGTAGCTATCTCTCGGTTTTGGTTCTTCGAGTTTCACTTCCTGCACGGATGTTCGTATTCGAAAAGGGCAGTCCCCGAGAGCGTGTATTGAGCTCGTATGGTAGCTATTGCCTTGCTCAGTGTCCGGCGTCTTGTCGCCCTTCCGAGAATGTCCGATCATACAGCTAGCGTTCTTCGCCTACCTAGTATTGGGTACTCGCGGCACTCCTGGCCCTAGGTCCTGTTCGCTCAGAGGATCGGTAATGGGGTCAAATCCACATTCCCATTGGGTGTTCTCGAACACTATCCTATGTTACCACTTCGATACAATCCAATCTATCTCAATTACATCGACCCTCAGTTGTAGCTAAAGCTTCGGTTCAGGATCTAACCATCCCTACTGTGAAAAAGAAAAGCTCGGTACAGGCAGCAAGCCAGCTCGTATCTGTCTCTGTCTTCTTTCCTTCTTTCGTATCGAGTAAAGGCCCTTCGCCGACTACTACAGAATCTCCCTCAAAGCCTTACTCCTCAATTACATCGACCCTACGCTTTCTCCTGCTTTTGTCTATGACTGAACTTGGCTTCGCCAATACTTCTGACTTCACTGAACAATGGGAATCCCAATCGAGACTAGGAGCAGCTCTGATTGAGCCCCCTATATGAGAAGGACTACACGGGGTAGAGACAGGTGAGATTTTAGTAGGTAAATTAACGCCTCAAATAGCGAAAGAATCATCGTATGCAAAGGTACGATTTCTCAAGGCTAAATACAAGGTTGGTTGGACCAGTATTTTCCTAAGCTGTATATGAGATTGCCGCTTCCGGGCCTGGGGAAGTTCAGTCATAGAAGTCTTCGAGCCTCCCCCTCACTGTCTGAGTTGAAATGAGAACGACCCTTGTCTTAAAACCACGAGCAATCGACAAACCCTTTTGTTTACAATTAGCAAGATCAGTTGAAATTGTTGAATTCTCGGGCCATGCAAAGAAATACAAGACAGACCACTCAGAGAGCTCAAACAGAAGCGGAAAGCAAGAAAAGCTGGAGCCGCGGAATGGAATGCCTTCTTCCTGTCGATGTAATTGAGCTCGACTAAAATACGAGGCCCTGGGAAACGAATCCAAACAGCTGGAAGTTTATCCGCACGCCTTTTTAGGCATTTATGGCAGATCTTCATCTCCTCGGATTGGGTGCAAAAGTAAAGGTGTACGAACCAAGGCTTCACTTCGCTCAATTACATCGACCCTAACCTGATCCGGAGCCAGAGGCTATAGTCGAGCCTCCCCAAGCCAACAATGGAAGGGTGGAGTGAGCCTAAAACCTTAAATCCCTCTTTTTGTCAGCCGGCAATCATAGGGTAAGCGCAGGATCGATGTAATTGAGAGGCACGTAACGATGAAAGAGAGTTTGAATATATTCACTTATATAATCTACTCTCATCATCACGCGACCCATGTCAGCAATTGGTGCTGACATTGATAACAGATCGGCTTTCTTTATCATCTTGACTTTTCTTCTTGTACGATATTCGAAACTGAATTAGGGCTTAATTAATATCTATGAAACCTATGGGGTTGGGTCCAGTCCCAAATCAATATGAAGCAAACGTAATGCCTTTCTTCTTTTACCACAGAACTTCGCGCTCAGATACGCCTAAAGACTTATGTTTTTGGTGTCGTATCTTGGGCCGGAACACCCAAGACTTCCAAAGGAAAACTCTCTTTCGCACCCTCCTCAGAGGAAGCTCTCGAATCTAATTGATAAACCTCCCACCCTATTATGACTGAACTTCGCTTCGTTCGTTTGTACGGTAGAGGTCGATCACTTTTCAGTTGAGAGCCGCCACTGGTAGAGGGGCGGGAGTTGTCCTCACGAGATCCCACAACTCGTAGATTATCCCGTACCTTTGGTGTTAAATTGCCTCAGGAATTCGAGATAAGCTTACCGAAGCCACAGGGTGCCTTTTTAACGCTCGACCATAAGAACGAAGTGGTAGAACGAAGCGAAGTTCAGTCATAGAGGAAGTCAGCTAAACAAACTAGAATGGGTAACTTGAGAAGCGAAACTACTCAATTTATCAGGGCTCAAAGGGGGTGTGAACGACTTCTTTTTCCTTGAATTGGGTCTTCCCACAAAGACCTTGAAATTGGAGATTGGGAGATGAGAAAGAATAGTGAGTCCCTGCTACTTGAAAGAATGTTCTGGGCAAAGACCGAAAACAGCTTGCTTTGCTCATGGTACAACGACTGCAGCCTTAAACCAAAATACTCTCGTCCGGACCTGTCGAATCCGCTGATATGTATAGGCGGAGGAAAACTCCGGCCACTACCCAAGTCGGCCGAACCCCCGGCACAATACACCGCAGCGCGTCATGCCGAAGCTTCCAGATCTTCCTCATCTGCCATGACGCCGAGACCGGCAAAGTATATGACCAAACCGTTTCCGATTTAACATAATACTCATGCACCCACTTCACCCAAAGAGATTCTGAGTTCGGGGTGAGATCCCATATCAACTTCACCATCAAAGCCTGTCCATCTTTTTGACAAAAGAGGTGGATGGTAAGACGGACTTGGAAGTTCAGTTCAATCTCGATGGTATGCCTGTTCCTTGCTTTGCTTATGGCTTGGCCAATTGACATTGCCCTTTGGCAGAACCTATAGAGACAACCTCAAGCTTTCGAAAACCTCCAGGCAAAGGCAATCAATTCACTACTCAGTGTCCGCTTAAGCTCCCACACTCACACACAAAGAGTTTGCTTAAACTCACTCCACTCCCTGAAAACCCTCCTCCTCAGTTCCAGCCCTGTGCTCCCTCAGTTCTCTGTGGTCTGAGTCAGACTCCCCAGTTTCCCATATAGCCAGAACATTGCCCATCACCCACTCAAAAGACTCCCCGAGGCGCCCATCACCTTCAGTACCACACTCGTAGGCTCCTCAATCTTTGCTTTGGTACTCCACACTGCTAACTAAATACTGCTATATCTGCCAGTAGCCACTCTACTCCTTTCTTTTTCTTTGTTTACGCTTGAACTACGGAGCAGACTAGCGAAATCAAAGTGACATCCATACAGGAGGAAGGCCTTTATTTTAAACAAAACACTTTTTTGCTTGTGGGCATGAATATTCATACTCTTACAAGGGCTGTTAGAAAGAGTCCAATACTCGAGGAGAGCGAAGTGAGTCTCGACCCAACAAACTTTTCGAAGCAGCAAGAAAACGGATGCGCGTTAGCGCAACGGCTTTCGCGCTAGTTGCTCAATCCGTTGCTTGTTCAGTGAAGTCCCTGGAGAGGGAAGATGTAATTGATCTAGCCTTAACTTTGAAAGCTGTCCCAGAGAATGATTGCAGAAAGAAAGATAGTAAACTAGGGATTGGAGGACAAGGTTTTTTATGGGTAACACTTCTGATTATCCCGCATGCATTGGTTCTTGATGTATTGATGGTGACACTGGCCCTGGTTGCTGCTACTAGTCAGGCTCATCAAATGCAAACATGGCTCATGGTGGCCGTGGTAGAGGCCGAGTAGAGCATTTTCTTGAACGAACTCACTGGATAGCCAGTTCATTACACTGAATTGGCTGTCCTCACATTCGATGGAAGCACCTCTTTGACGCACTGGCTGGATGGAAGAGCTTAATACGACTTTAAGGCATAAGCCCTAGAAACGACTATCCGTAGAAACTCTTACTACCTAAGCTGTATCGACAGCAACGGAAACCTTCTTTTTCCACTGCCGGGAATATGCTATTAGATGAGAGAGAATCAGTTCAGAAGAAAGAATGGGACTAATAACTATGGCCAGAGACTACTACGTACTATCAATCGTACCCGAAAGAAGAAACCGCAATCTAACTCTTCAAAAACCTGGAAAAAAACTGAATATCATCAATCATCAAAATCTCATAAGAGAAGAAAGGCTGAAATCAGGCTCTAATGAGTTGAGCCATGCCACGTATCAGGGCATTAACTGCTTTCCTTTTCATCTCTTTCAGAAAGGGTTGATCAAAGGATCTCTATGATGGATGGTATATGGATAGCCGAAAAGCGTGCAGAACGGGTAATCCAACTCCTCACCGGCCTGCTCCCCAGATTCACTAGCTTTATTTAAATAAGTAGTTAGCCTAGTGGCTGCTCCAATGCGATAGATTAGGGTTGGTGTGGCTTCTCTAGAGAAAGAAGTCACCGCGGATAATGCTACATAGAGTAGGCTCTATTGCTATGCCCTACTGCTCCAAGAACCAAAGCAAAGAAGGTCGCACGCTCTAAAGCGTCAGTCTGTTCAATCTGAAAGCGAACCAAGCCAAGCAAGCATGTAAGTCCNTAGGTCTCCCTTGTTGGATACTTGCTTTCTGTCTCAAGTCCAAAAGAAGAGGTAGGTAGATCGTTTCGCAACCATCGTAGGTTCGACTCTACTAGTTAGATTGTGCACTTCGTTCAATCTTTTCTTTGAGCTCTCTTCTACCTCATTCGTTCTAGCTCCCTTTGAACGAGCCTAGTAGAACGAGGCTCACACAATGGGAAGGGAATAGATGCATTTTTTTTAAGAAGTCAAAAGAGAAAGAACAGCACTAAAGGTGGAGAGAAAGAAGGGACCCTACCAATGGGTTCGACTAAAGCTTACGGGCTCGGCTCCGGCTTGGGACTTTGTACCTGTTGTCACAAGCTCAATCGCTGCTCGGATCGGATAAGGGCTTGCAAATCAACGCCGTGGTCAACTCAATTACATGGATCCTCTCCTTTCAGTCCCTTCCTCTCCCTTTCTCTATAACGTCACTTCGCTTCGTTCTTTGAGTCTCACTTTGCTCTCCTTATCATACGTGCAGATTCAGAAGAGAGATGAAAGGGGATGCAACTCATTCAAAAGTCCCGACCAGGGTTTACATATTCATAGGGTAAATCCGAGGTCTATTCGGTTCATGGTCTCCGTCCTCTAACTAATAGAAAGGGAGCTCTTCTCCTCACTCATTGCTCCTCTATCAATGGTATATATGGAAAGGGTAGTAAAGCAGCCTCTCAACCGGTGCGGCCAATCGCCCTCTTCCTTCTTCCATCGTTTTTCTCATCCGACATCGATCTCGGCTTCCTTGACAAAGCAATGTGAGCAACGTGCTGAGATAGATGACGAGGCGTTCCAGGGCAGCACTCCCAATGTGAGGAAAGAGCACAAGACCATACAGATGGCATCGCAAATCCCGTACCAATGTGGACTGGACACCACATCTTGATCAGTTCGTTACTGCGGAGCGAGCAAAATCCTCTTTGAAATTCTGTCCTGAAGTTTGGATATTAGGTTGGTGATTCCGAGTTACCATATTTGAATAAGCATTTCCATAAGGATAGGAAAGCCGCTTTCAAGCTAGTACGGTACCACTCTCTCCTCCAATCGGATATTGGACCCAGATGAGGATGTTCTCGAATAGGTTCTTTCAGCTAGGAATGGAGTCTAGGTAGGTTGAAAGCAAGAATTTTTTCAAAGGCAAGGTTTGAAGATACTCGACCTTTGGGAGAGGAGGGCTTGTGAGACTTTCTTCGTTCAGATTGTGACTTGCTCGGGCTCGGGGTGGAAAAAGCCCGGTCATGAGACCTGTAAAGGTTCGATGCAACTCAAGGTCTTTTATGCCCGCAAGAGGAAAGAGTCTTATCATTAAATAAATTCATTCGGTTCCTATCTAAGATATACGCGAGAAATTGTGGGAGCTTATGACTAACAAGGATCAAAACTAAATTATGGCTGCTGTGTCAACATCACAAGTCATGCTATATCACCATTCTTCGTCAGGGTCGATGTAATTGAGGAGCGGTAGCTCTGACCAAACTTTGACCGTTGTACCAGTTTCTTTCACCGGCCGGAATGCGCGATCATGACAGGAAACAACTGTAAAGGTTGATCGCATGAGAGTTCCACAAAAGAATTGAACCCCCTGCGAAGCCCGATGCCGCCACCTCGTAAACACTATCAAACGTCGAGCTTTTTAGCAAGTCTACGGTACGAACGAAGCGAAGCGAAGTCAAAGAAGCATGTGGGAAAAAAGAAAGTCCTATAGTCCGAGTGCCGGATGAAAGGTTTCGCTATTGGTAAGTGCCGAGCATACGTAAATCCTTGGATCTTTTGGAATCCGTTGGTTTTGATTAGAAGAACTCCAACTGGATAGAACTGTCTTTCTAGCTCCTTGACTTAGAAAGGCATAGTTGGAGCCGATGTGGTCTCGGAAATGGCAATTGGAGGAAGAGAGCGCACATATTTGAAGCTAGGAAGAAATGAAGAAGCATGAAAACCGGGCTTTGACCATGTCTCCCGAACAATCTCAGTACATATGGCGCAAGACGATTCCACATATCGAGGTCGGAATGGGATCGTCCGAACAACGAGGAAAGAAGCGTGCATGGGGCTATATCTAAACGGGTGGTGAATCTAAAGGTACGGCCATCGGCTCCTACGAGAACTAACTGCCGACTCCTCTCTTTGTAAACAAACATAGCCCACGTCCGATAGAAGCTTATGAATTCATTAAGAGTCGTCGCACAACGTTCGACTTGCATGTGTTACGCATATAGAGCTAGCCTTCCTTCTTCGCAAGGATCAAACTCTGATTGTGAGTCGGTTAGAGCAAAGCCCAAAAAGGCATAACCAAATAGTTTAGCAATGGATTTCGCGCCACAACTGATCTTTACCTAAGCTACCTCTCCTACTTTCATTATGAAGTGGGGTCAGACTTATTTTGGCTGCTATTTTCATTGAAATGCGAGGACTCTGTCCAACAATCTATTCCACATGAGAACAACTATTGAAGGTGAACCAATAAGGTATTACGATAGGTGAACAAGCACTGGTATCTGGTGATTCGTGGAAAAATGAACACCTTTTCTTTCTTTCGATATCTAGTTGTTGTTCCTTCTTAAAGATGAGTAGTTCTTACTCAGGAAGAGATAACGGCATAAAGAAGGCAAAGGGAAGGGCTTTCGTGGGAATGGGATATCACCTCAAGAGGGATGTAGGTGCTCTCTCCTGCTGGGATGAGTGTACCGGATTAGGTGAGACCAACTCCCGGGTAAGACTCAATGGATAATCGAAAGGGAGCCTTAGCTCAGGACAAGCTGTTCTTGCTAGAGTCGACTCTTGGGGGAAGCTCTTGTGAAAGAGAATAATTCCCCCGTACCGTAGGCGTAGTATTCAGTTGGAGAAGTTTTTCAAAAAGATAGAAAATTCTATCTCCCGAAGGTGCACTAAAGGGGCGGGCTGGCCGTAAAAACTGCCAGTTAGCGAAGCAGAGAGAGTCGACTAACAGATTGGATGCTTTCGATGGCTGCCACTGCGCGCACTTTCGCTTCATCCATCTTCAGCCTCGAATGCCAGATAGATCAATTACATCTTTCCTCTCCTCTCCAGAGATTGAACTTCGCTGCGCTTCGTTTGTTTGGTCTGACGCTTTGTGTTTAATTGAAACGAAGTTCGTTCTTACCCCCACAGCCGCCGCTCGCATGATGTAGCGGCTGTAGCATCCACCTGTCTTATGTGGAAGAAAGAGGGTAAGCTTTCTAAGCTGCTTATTACTTCTCCCGAAGTTACGGGGTCATTTTGCCGAGTGTTCAAATTCTGGTAGACAACGGATCTTCTTTTTATGTCATGCCAAAGTCAACTTTGAATCAAATCCCTGGAAGCCGAAGCTAACTACGAAATGAGAAATCCACTATTGTGGAAGTAGTGCAGCTAACACAGGACCTGTAATAGTTGAGACTAGCTTCGACATATGAATATGCCTCGCCTCGAAGAAAAAGGAAGGAGGAGGCGTGTAATAGCCATCTATTAAGAGTCGTCTTCATCCATGTGCGGGGAGTCAAGTTCAGTATCATCATTTATGTTATTTTATGGTTTTTTCCGCTACTCGAACTCGCAGGGGAACCCCCAAGGGAAAACCATGTCTTCTAGGGCCTCTACTTCACTGCGCTTCGCTTCATTCGTTGGGTTGCACAAACCGTGATTCGAGGTCCCGGGGAAGAG